GGAAGGTTTCACCATCCATCATTATACAATCTAGACCTAATTCGACCGTATTAGAATTTTCTTCATAGATCCAAATGGTCCAATCGCCCCTAGAATCAGGACCACACCCATGCGACGGTTGTAAACCCGTACGCGCCTGAAACTGCCCAAGATATCATGTCACAAGATTCCGCCCAAATTGCCCTCATGTAAACACCAAACTCCCGCTAAGGTATCATTTTTAATATAACTCATTGCGCCGTATCCCAATCCATGCATAACAGTAATTCGTAGAATGATAAGCGGTGCCGCCATCAAGATCGCGTATCCAAAATCGCTGCATGCACTGCAGAACCCCCTATGTTGGGATTCTCTAACGCCGTCTGGTTCTGCGGCCCTGGTTTGAGATAGCAATTTCCAGGCGCGCTTCCCTGTACGGCGAACGTACGGTTAGTCCACGCCGGGATGTAGCTGACTCCCGCGCATGTGGCATTGTTGGACGTGGAGTTGAAATCTCCAGGAATGTAGAAAGAGTAAGAAGCGCAGGCGTCGATGCAGTCGTCGAAATTGCCCACAAATAGTGAAGAGAGCGGATTATTCGGCGCATTACTGTTGCAATATATCTGGAAGGTAGGCCTATCGAAAACTTCGGCGCATCTTGTTAGTAGTTGTTTGAGCATAGGCCTTCATACCCGTCCTAAAACTTACATTGAGATGTGTATGTGCTTCCGGTCACTCCTGCTGAATTGGTAGAGCAGCCTTTGTCGACATTACTAAAGTCTGATGGCGTCGATGTTGGTGCAGTTACTGTGACAGTCGTAGGCGAACCTCCAGACGCACCCACTGAAGCCAATCGCGCTTCAGCATCGTTTGCTCGGCTTGCTTCGACTCCTGTGCCCGCCGCCAACCCTATCACGGCCGCTGACAATATAGCAATTATCAGAGACAGAACAAACACTAATACTGAGCATCCTAATATCCGTTTTCGTGCTCTCCCTTGGTCGGACGGTGGTATATGACCATATCCAGACTGATGATCATATGCATATGGCGAGGGCGCGGAGTTATCCACTGGCGCATAATTCGGATGTATTGTCGATGGATTCGTTGAATCCTCCGGTTTTATAGGTGTTGCTGGCGCATGTTGACCGTACGAAGTTACTTCTGGTACTGAAGGGGGGTGATGAACTTCGGGATAATTATGAGGTGCTAGCTCAGGCGCTTCATCGTACTACGGTCACAATTAGTATGTGTCCTAGAGTGAATATATAGGTACCTAGTGATGGTGAAATACTCACTCTTGGCGGCATATTGAACCACAGCAATAACGACGATGAGTATTTTAGTTTTTGAAGATATCACAATTTTCTGACAGCAGTAGCGATTTCTGATCGTCAGATTAGAAAGAAAGATCGCGGTCGGAGCTTTAGAGAGAAATAGTGTCAGCAAGTGCGGGAGACAGATGGAATATGAACTGTACTGCGGAATCACAAGCGGATCAGGATCCAATCCAAATGGGGTCTAATAAGCCCTGGCCCCCAAGTAACAAGCATCTGCGAACCCTGACCAATCTAGAAATCGCTTCAGCCCTTCAATAAGAAGACCTATTATTATGTACATAAGAGCTTGAGCCCGAGGGCCCGACTTTGACGACTCGGCAGGGTTGCATGAAAACAGACCGGGGTCTCCGTGACTAATAAATGTAACCCAGCCTGCCCAGCTCACCCTGTAGAGAAGACCGAAGACCCACAACGCCTTTGAATCTTGGCTGTCTCGAGTATGTCCAAAGAGAAATATATGAACAGCAACTTTTGACTTCAGAGACGTCTAAATTCCTACGAGACTCGATATCGCTATTTTGACTTAGTTGCCCACGTCTTTGGTTCCCGTATAATCCGCTTTCAGCGCTCTTACATTGACACTGACATTGAGAGGTATAGTACTATGTAAAGGCACATTAATGCATAGCAGGACTAAGGCAGCTTACTTACCTTAGGTAGGTTAGGTCATTATTGACCGCATATACTAACCAATACTATTGTAGTTCATATCTTTGGTACGCGAGCTACATATGCATTAGCCGTTGTGTACCTATATTCCGTATCGCACACACCTAGTGACTGATGAGACTACAACTGTAAGAAATATTCACTTGTTAAAAGAGGTTGAGCCAATAGAGTCCTTAAGACCTAGCGGTTACATGTCTTTTTGAAGAGAATCCTTATGTCAAGATTTAAGCTGCAGCCCTTGAGGTTGTAGGCAGCAACTACTAGCTCGTTCAGGGACGTTGCCAAGCAAATAGTTACAGCCCCGGTACTGGACCCTCTATCCCTGTACTTGAGGGGACTTCATTCCAAAATCCACAGCAAGACGTCCAATATAATTCATCAACGAATCATGTGCCGTCGCACTGGGTGGAGGCCGGACTCCCGCATACATTAGATTAGGGTAGCTTAGCACTACGAAAAGATTCCATATTGTTACCTAAGTACGTAGTAGAAAAGCAAAAGTTAAAATAATGCGTACATCTTTGCTAAATAAACAGCAAGACAGCTTCAAGCTATTCGCCAAAGCGTCCACATCCTCCGAAACCTCTGAAGCCTCCACAACAAGGATGGATTCAGTGGCGGATAATAGGCGCCTAAGTAATAATAAACGGACTGCGGAGAGCTGAGACCAAGTACAAGCGTAAAGCGGTTGGGCCCGATAACGCCAATGACCAATATGGTTAGTTACTTCTCTATAACGCAGGGAACCTTTTACTTCTGATGGCAGTGCTATGTAGAGAAGACATATGTAATAATATTAAATCGGGGATTTTAATTTTCTAAACCATAAGCCGAACAGAAAACCCTCAACTAGGTAGCTTTGAGCTTCGGGATCTGATTTCTTGATTTCTTCATGCGAAAGACAGGAAACCTGATAGGCTGCCCTACGATCCTGGGCAATCATGGGGATATATTATTGAAGATGGGGAATGGTCTTTTGTTGGAAGCTACAGTGCTGACGCCAGCACGTCCAAGGATAATGCGAGGGAGACCCATAAGGCTGAAGACTAGAACATCTCATGGAACAATCGAACCACAACAGCCGGGATTTTATTACATAAGACCCTTACGATGGGGTCTAAACAACGTTTTTCAAATTCATACGAGCTTCTCTTCGAGCAATCAATGGCCCCTAACTTATGCAACAAATTGCGAACACGTGGTAGGCTCACATTCCCATTAAGGGAGGTCGGTTCATTGCTACGGTATGCTATGAAGTTTGTCATCGCCTGCCCGTACAGGCAAAGCTCCCTAGCTTCCCCAAATTTAAATAATTGAGCCTATCCCTAATATGTAAGTCTTCCGATAGCATTCAGTCTCTCCCTGTACTTTGAACAAAAGCAAAATGATCTTAATTTCAACACCTAAGATTTAGAGTAGGACATCCTCAATCTCACGTCAGCACTACAGTTGTAAGCGTGACATCGCGTGAAATGAGGGTACCGAGGGACAGGTCAATAATCGTCGGATCACGGCAACCGAAAAGAAGAGATTATTGGTCTAACCAAGATTTCTACCAATCATCTATCATAGCAGAAGTGAACAGGTTGATGGCCGCAGCTTTTCTTCACGATGGAGCACAGTCATCACGACATCTGCAAAGCTAGCTGCCTCGCTGCTAATAGTACAACTACCTAGATACCTAGGTATCTATGGGGTTTACGACATATTTCTAAAGAGCCACTCCACTCAGGGAATCATCACTAACAATTACGCAGGCTGCGAGCAGGACGCCAAGCCATAGGAACCAATCTGATCATAGCGATTATGCCTGGTTGCCTCATTGCCTATCTCTCAAGGTAACACATAGTGGGAAAAGCTACATATCACTAGACTCGCTTATGCTTCATGTAAAACGTAAACATTGTCGTGTGGCATAATCCTGTGTTAGCCGAAACGTGTGATCGAGGACAGAAGACACAAGGTTGAGTTTTGTGTTGAGACTACATAATTTACAAGTATATGCTCTGTCTCTTGTAGAAAATTGCAACACTCAACGCCTCTCATGTTGTGTATGAAAGGAACCCGAGTCGAAGACACTAAGTTGCTCTTCAGGCTGGAAATTAAAATCGAATTGATCAGTCCCCGTTGCACACTACATAGGTATCTACCATAACTTGATTGTAATAATATGCTGTTGTTACTCTTCTATCCTATTAACATTAGGAAGTACGAGCCTTATAATATAGGTACCTAGGTATGGACTTATAAAAACTAACTCTTTATTTGGCACTTAGCCAGTTGACGAAGAGTTTATTTTACCGGTAATGAAAATTGAATAAAAATAATATATGATAGGTATACATTTTAATATTCTTTAAGATGGCTTTAGTTCAAATATTTAGGTATTTCACTGCGTAGAGCAAGAATAAGAACCAGATATAATATCACATAACCCTGTTAACTATTCGTAGCCTTTTATAGTTCCAACATCTTTCAATTAGTTGGCGTGGTCTACTTCTTTCTGATGACTATGCTAGTCAGTGGCTCGATTTATTAAATGCCCATGAACAATAATAATTGAGTTTTCGGTAACTAAGGATTGATATATGATATGACTATAGTCACATTTCTTAACTTTATCAATGGAAATAGAGCTTCAGCTACCTTAAGTCTTTACTCTCTTTTGCTACGGTTCTAAACAATGCCTAAAATGGATGTGCTATAAAGCTATCTGGGTTCATGGGTCTTTCTAGTTTTATTATAATGTGAAAAAGATGGAGGATAATTTCGTCAAGCGGAATTTGGAAGGAACGCCTCCTATTTCAATATTGCTCGAAGCGTGCAAGCATGACATAGTCTTAGAGAAGACGGAAGAATGAAGTGCTGAATTGTGTAGGTGTTTTCCACAGAGTGGACCTTCCTCACATGTTTTCAGTCGCTCCTTCCATGTCTTGTCGGGTGAAAACCACTAGAGAATGCGTTATAATGCCTAGTAGTGTGCACTATTGGCAACAAAGCAATGGCATCGAAGCATCTGTGAAGTAGTAGTTAACTTGCTCCCCTCCCACACATTGGTATAGTTGTTAAGGGAGATACCCGGGTGCAAATCCCGGTAGGTGCAATCTTTCTTTTTCGTCGAGGTCACCAGTTCACGTCGAGCTCGCGGCAACCTTTTTTATTTTTTTTTCTTCCCCCTTACCGATTTATATTCACATCCTGCTTTTAAATTAAAGATTTACCGAATACAAATCAAGAATCCTACATGTGAGAGATTTCTCTTTACTTCTTTTTGGAATATTTCTCCATATACCTATCTATCTAAAAAGACAACATGAAAGGGCTAAGTAATATAGTAGAATTGAACTACGTCGAGCATATGCCGTGGCAAGCAACCCCCTTTCTTTCTATCATCAACCCGGAAACATGATATGGTGAATATCCTTATTCAAACACATGAAAATCTCTGTATAAATTTGGTGCCTCCCCTTTCAACACCAGGCTCCTTGCCTGCCCAGGTATGCATGATTTCATCGACGGACTGGATGCGTCTTTAGCTAGCACCGCAAAAAGCCATCTCAGGATTACATGCTAAAGACAAACACTTGTGCAAACTGCGTGGTTCATGATTCTTAGCCTACAATATGGAATACAATATGGAATCTAACAAACCTAGAAATACAGCTCGTTGCTTAATGCTTACTCTACCTATTGTAGTCCCTCCACGCGCGCATACACAGAGCAACAGACTGTAGATAGGTAGAAATGTAAATTCATGAGCCGATGCATGTCTAGCTGGTAGTCGTGATGAAACATGACAAATTACACTGAACATGACGTTAGTACCTTTAAGTTACAATGGTATTGTTTGCGCATGCAACTGCCTACCTAGTGACAGCGACTTTAGGAGACTCGGCTCCCCACTCGGCTCCTATACCTGTGCGCATGTTTGTAAGGGTGTTTATAGGGGCTTTATTACATTAGTACTTTAGACCCTCTGGTGTCTTGATTGGTGTGCGTTGCTACCTAACTGCCTACCGAAATGCATCCTGGGTATTACTCCTGTTGCTGTCACAGAGCCGTGTGCCTTATTTTGCGTTCGAGGTATTACATTTCTGACATATTCCTTCTGTTGTCATACCAAAGGCGTATTCTAGATTGCATAAGTACTGTCACTTCCCTCCCCTGATTCGTTGTTACTACGAAGTAATAACGATTTGTTTTAATGGCCAACAAGTAAGCAGGCATGCAATGGCCGACTCTGCCGGCGACATATTATCTGCATGTAGTCGATGTAGTGCTAGGAGTTCCTGGCTTTTGACCGTCATATGATATTGCTACTAGACCAATTAAGAGCCTAGCCGTCGTTCTAGCGGTGAGGCGGGGCAATCCCCTACCGATCGGAGGCAAGGGCCAGGGGAATGTAATTGGGGGTTACAGTTGTTACAGTTACAACGGCTCAGGTACTCCAACCTGGAGGGGCACCGATGAGGGGTAATGGATGGCTTCAACAGAAATTTGGTCAACCATCAATGATATCAGTTCCCGAGAACCTGGTAATTATTCGTCTTGGGGATGGAGGCTAAATTGCAATCATGTTAATATATCTAGCGGCGTATTCTTTGTCAGGCGCGGCAAGCTCTTGACTTAATTTGATTGTATGCAGAGTAGCGATGCAATGGATCTACGGGTTTGGATGCGTTGCAATCCGAACTTCAGGGTCCAATAATGAATCTTATTCGACTCTTTTCATTATATACTGCCTCCCACCCCAAATACATTCAATTTGCAGTTGATAGGACGCGTCCTTGGTCCCTCTACAAACATAGGTTACCCCATAAGCCGCATGTGGCATTATGCACGGTGAGCAATTAGGTACAGTACAGTACATCCGACGGAGTATCAGTTTACCGCACCAAGATACCAAGATACTCAGGGTAGCCTAATAGCGTTAGGGCCTTCAGATTGGCCCAATCAAGTGGACTCCAGACTCGGCATGACGGGTGGTAGCGTTGGTGGGTTGGTGGGACTTTGAGGACGTACCTTCCTAGAACCTTCAAGGGATTCGATCCGTTCAAAGTCATAGAATTTCCGAGCCTTTCTTTTCTCCTCTCTTTCCTGAAATACACCTTTTTTTATGTCCTTCTTGTTGACATAAGATAAGTTGGTCGGAGGGAAAAAAAATAAGAGTTGTTGGATTTAGTTAGTTCTTTTATTTTCCATTTTCCGAGAAGGGCAGGCAAAGTAGACCTCTTAATCTGGGTACCTTCTTTTTCTATGTGTTTGTTCACATTAGACTGCTAGGTGAGCCGCTAACTTTTTTTCTTTTTCGTCCTAATATTCTCAACGTGCAGGTGTTTTCTCTCAATGCTAAGCAGGAGTTTTACCTCATATCCCAATTACATCACCTGTGACTATGTTCACTCTTACTAACGTCCTCACGCAGATTTCATTTGTCCTATATCCCTTACTCCCACGCTGTACCCCCTCCAAGTAGTAGCAATATTCGTCCTGTGCTATACCGCCCAAGATGCATATCAACGAGATGCTCGCGGATGCCGAGAGGACCGGCCACCCGTCCTTCTCCTTCGAATACTTCCCTCCAAAGACAGCTCAAGGTGTACAGAACCTGTACGATCGCATGGAGCGCATGTACGACTTCGGTCCCAAGTTCATCGACATAACGTGGGGTGCTGGAGGACGGATAGCTGAGCTGACCTGTGACATGGTCGTTCAGGCCCAGGCCTACTTCGGTCTTGAGACCTGCATGCATTTGACTTGCACCGATATGGGAGAGGAGAAGATCAACGACGCATTAAGGAGAGCCTACAAAGCTGGCTGCACCAACATCTTGGCACTACGAGGAGATCCCCCAAGAGAAAAAGAGAAATGGGTTGCAACTGACGGCGGTTTCCAATATGCTAGAGACCTTGTCGCTCATATTCGAAAGACGTATGGAAACCACTTCGATATTGGTGTCGCCGGTTACCCGGAGGGCTGCGACGACAACAAAGACGAGGATTTGCTGCTAGACCATCTGAAAGAGAAAGTTGACATGGGAGCCACATTCATCGTCACCCAGATGTTCTACGATGCCGACAACTTTGTACGATGGGTAGGAAAAGTGCGGGAAAGGGGAATCACCATCCCGATTGTGCCCGGAATTATGCCCATCGCGACCTATGCCAGTTTCATGCGACGAGCAAACCACATGAACTGCAAGGTACCCGATGGATGGATGGCTGCCCTCGAACCGATCAAGAATGATGATGCTGCTGTGAGGGAAGCTGGAAAAACTTTGGTCGCCGAGTTATGCCGGAAGATCATGTCTGCTGGCATTGTCCATTTGCACTTCTACACCATGAACCTAGCCCAGGCAACCCGCATGGTTTTGGAGGAGCTTGACTGGATGCCGACCACGACCCGCCCTCGGAAACAAGCCCTGCCGTGGAAGCAATCCCTCGCATTGGGACGACGCGAGGAAGATGTCCGACCTATTTTCTGGCGAAACCGCAACAAGTCATACGTTTCGAGAACCCAAGACTGGGACGAATTCCCCAACGGCAGATGGGGTGATTCGCGTTCTCCCGCTTTTGGTGAATTGGATGCGTATGGCATTGGCCTGACTGGTACCAACGAATCCAACCGCAAGCGATGGGGCGAGCCTAAGTCCGTTCAAGATATCGCATCTCTCTTCGTCAGATACATCCAAAGAGAACTCCCTTCCTTGCCTTGGAGTGAAGCACCATTGACTAGCGAATCCGACTCTATCACGGATGATCTCATCAAGCTTAACCAGCGCGGTTTACTGACCATCAATTCCCAGCCAGCGGTAGATGGTGTTAAGTCTACACACGGCGTGTACGGATGGGGACCGCCCAATGGATATGTCTACCAGAAGGCGTACCTAGAATTGCTAGTGTCTCCTGAATTGTTCCCCGAGGTTATTCGAAGGATCAACGCCAACCCGGACCTGTCATACTATGCCGTGACTCGATCTGGGCAGCTCACGACGAATACACCTTCCGACGGGCCCAATGCGGTCACATGGGGAGTTTTCCCAGGCAAGGAGATTGTTCAACCTACAATCGTCGAGAGCATCAGCTTCTTGGCCTGGAAAGACGAGGCCTTTAGACTTGGCATAGATTGGGCGCATTGCCATGACGCGAACTCCCCCAGCCGTGCCTTGATTGATAAAATCATGAACGAGTGGTACTTGATTAACATTGGTATGTTTCAATGATCCCTCGAGAAGAATAATGCTGACATAGATATCAGTTAATAATGATTTCCGTCAACAACGAACTATTTTCGAGCTATTTGATGGACTGGGTGTCAAGGATATTGATGTTCCTGTGACAATTCCCCTTCGAGAATCGGGTCAAACCAATGGTATTCACATTGAGGCGAATGGCACCTCAACGGTCAACGGAAACGGAGCAGTCGCAGGGGCATAATACTAGCGACGTCACAGGGAACGGCGTCATTGAACTTTTCAACAAGCATTCGGCTGGCGGGCGAAGGAGTTACTATTTCAACAAGAAGCATTACTAAGGCGTTTGGAAACGGAGTCCAGATTTTTCAACAAAAAATCGGAACACAGGTTTAGGAACTTAACGACATCCTAAAAAGGGACAGGCTTATAAAAGAGGCTGCGCTGCATCATATCTCAACGATACCCCCAGCAACGAAGGATGATGGGTTTGAGCACAGATGGTTTTTGTATTGGACCGAAGAAACTTCGGTGCAGCAGGTATGCGTGAATCTAGCAAGCTCGCTAGAAGGACATATGGCATCAGGAGAGATAACACACACTGCCATGGCCGTCAACAAATATTTGGAGGATAGGTTGAATCGGCTCTAGATATATGGCAATGTTGACGGCGGGCGTAGGGTTGAAATAAATGCAAATTTGGTGGTGACACTGCCACCTTCGACATATTGACCGTAACTTTATACTTCTGTTTTCCCCATGCTTGAACTATTGACGATGAAGACCTTCCGTAGTTGCTTGACCATGTCACTCATCCATGTAAAAGTATTACCGCCGATATCTCCGATTTGCATAATGTTTTTTTCTTCTTTCGAAAGCCGATTAGGTAGAACCGAGTTGCGAACCGAGTG